AGCCGGCGGGGACAAGTGCCCCGCTGCCCACGCCGGTCAGAGGTGCTGGCATGTTATCCCCCGCACAGCCTCGCCTGGAGGTCCAGCCCTGGCCAAGATCCCGGCTGCAGCGAGAGAGGACGTAGAGGGACCGATACACCAGCAAACAGACTGAGGGAGGCCCGGTGTGGGCAGAACGGTGTCCCACAAAAAGACGTGCTGAAGTCCTAGCCCCCAGGACCGCGGAATGTGACCTTCCTTGGAAATAGGGTGATGCAGACGTAATTACTTAAGATGAGGTTGGGGGAGCAGGACTGACGTCCTTACAAGGAAAGGAGAAGACACACGGGGAGAACGTAGCCCGTGACAACGGGCGACGCATCAAGAAGCCTCACGTCACGCTGGAAAACTCCCGAAGCTAGAAGACACGGGGAAAGGTCCTCCTGTGGGTTCCAGAGGGTGCAATGCCCTGGCCACGCACCTTGATTTTGGACTTCGGCTGCGAGAACCAACCTGTGCTCCAGAACTGTCGGACGATCAGTTTCTGTTGTTTTAAGCCACCCAGTTTGTGGTGCTTTTTGGCACTTGCCCTAGGAAGCTAATAGGAGGCCCATAACTTTAGGTTCCTTGTCCCTGGGGAAGACCCCTCCCCCGCCCCGACATACACACAGGCGGAGGACAGCGTCCGCCACTCTGACCCACGACCACGTGAGAAGTCCCTTTCAAAGCGCCCTCCCCAGAACATGGTACCAGCTGGCTCTGGGTGTGGATTCCATGGCCGTGTGCGACGGCAGCGAAGCTGTACTTCGCCCCAAGCCCTCCGTGGGGGGCACTGAACTTGACGCCCGAGGTACCTGGCACACATTGTAGTGCTCGAAGAGGGACAAGAAGCCGACGTCGCTGCGGGCGGCGATGCCTTTGAGGAGCGTGACGTCCCCGTTCCCGGAGTCCAGCTCCACCACGTCGTTGAAGGTGTTGGACGAGGCTTTCCCCGTCAGGAGCAGATTGACGAGTTCCTATTGATGAGAGAAAGGGGAGGGGGCTGTGTCGGGGTGGGGGAGACCAGGGGCCGAAGAGAAGGGCGGAGCAGGCAGGAAAGCACGGTGGGGGAGAGCCTGAAATCGCGGGGCCTGTGACTTCAGTGTTCCCACGAGCGCTGGGGAAAGCTGCCAGCTCTTCTCATCAAAGTGACTCTAGGCGCGCAGAGTCTTTATTCCGAGAGCATTCATCAAGCACCAGTGTGCACGGGACCCTGTCCTGAGGCCTTGGTGGCGGGGCGCAGCAGGCGGGGGGTCCTGCAGGCTGGGAAGAGTGGCTCCTGAGCCGGGTCATTGGGGTCTGCCGCGGGGGATCAGGTGTGTGCCTGTGCAATACCGGACGTGACTGGGGCTAGGAAACTGTGTGCACAGGGCACTCCATGGCCCAGGCAGGCGTGGGACCTCGTGACTGGTCAGAGCCGCTTGGTGGAGAAGCGGCATTTGGGTGGGTCTTAAAGGAGGGTAATTTTTTTAATAACCTTTTTTATTTTGAAATAATTTCAGACTCAAAAGAAGTTGTAAAAATAGTCCAGAGAGTTCCTGTGTACCCTTCACCCAGCTTCCCTCACGATAACATCTTTACGTAACCAGAGCACATTAGCAACACCAGGAAACTGACGGGGCACCATACCAATAACTCGACCCCGGCCTTCCTCCCATCTCGCCCGCGATGGCGGGGGTCTTCGGGGTGGCGGGGAGGTGAGCAGAGGACAGCACCAGCAGGCAGGTGGAGGCAGAGAAGCCCCGGGCTGGGTTCCAGCTCTGTCTCTGCTCTCGCCAGCTGCGTGGCATCAGGCATTCAGTGGCCACGTGACTTATGCCCCACACCTGACAGGCCAACAAGCCTGCCGACCCCAGAACCAGCACACGGTGCACTGGGGTGACCAGAAGGGCCCTTCTTATGCAGAGCATCTAGGGGGTCCAACTTCCTGTTAGAAATGGGAAAACTGAGGCTTACAGCTGGAAAAGGATTTGCCCAAGCCACACGACTGGTTAGCGACAGAGCTGGACTTCTACGCACATGTTCTGGCTCCCTGTCCAGTGTCCCTTCCCTCTCCGCTCACTTGTTACCCTCAAGGTACCACCGGCTGGCCAAAGATTTGAGATGAAGGGCGGCTGCTAAGTGCCTGCTGACCGCTGACAAAGGATCCGAGTGAGCCCAGCCTTAGCGCTAGGGTGGGCAGGACCCTCCGTTTCACCCACCTCCTGCCAGGGCTGGTGGACACGTGAGGTCAGCAGGCAGGGTTCTTCCCCACGGGACGTGGGAACGGCCATCACAGCCCTTTCTCTGGAGGGCAGAGGTCACAGAAGTGTTTTCTCCAGAACCGTGAGAGCAACGCCAGCTTAATAAATCTCTCTGTCAGCACCAAGGCCCCTGCCCCAGTGACAGTAAAAGAGGCCTCCTCTGATGGCCGCAGAAGGACCCCGATTGGCAGGAGATATCGGGGGCGGGGGGCCTCATTGTGTCCTTGCAGAGGAAACGAGAAAGAATTCGGAGGAAATGGCTGCTCTGAGATCCTGCACCTCAGGGGCAATGGCCTTTTTCGGACAGTTTCAAGGTTTTCCATGTGGTTTTCAAGGGGGGAAAAAAAAGGCTCTTGCTCCCCACCTGGTGTGTGTCTCAGCCCTTCCTCAGAATGGGGGAGAAGGGGCTCCCTGCCCCAGACTCAAAGTCGCACAGTAGCAAAGCGTAATGGCCATCTAGCCCCTTGCTACTCAAACTGTGGTCCGTGGACCGGCGACATCACCTTCCCTGGGGAGCCTGTCAGAAATTCCGAATCTCAGGCCCCAGTCGCCTGCTTGTCAACAAGATCCTGGGGGATTCATGTGCACATCAAAGTTTAAGAAGCACTGGTCCAGTCCAAATGCCCTATTTTACAAATGAGGAAATTGAGTCTCAGGGTGAAGAAGAAAACCACCCCAGCTCATTCTGCAAGTGGTCTGGCACCCACTGTGCCCTGCTTAACTGCCCACCCCTGGGCAGTACTGCTCTCTGTCTGCTGACGGGAGAGCCCACAGGGAAGACAGGCACCCAGAGAGGGAGCTGGACCACCCAGGAAGGTGGGCGGCAGCCACCGCACAGTCTTTCAGCTGCCCTGGACAAACGGTGGGCCCCCAGCTGGCTGCTGCATCATGCCCACGTATGTTTTCAGTGCTGGCGCAGTGAGCCAGGACCCCCATGACAACTGGGAACTCAGCTGGGCTCAGCAGACAGAGCAGCTCTGCCCAACCTGTCTGCGCTACACCTGTTGGTCTGTGTGCACTGAGGGTCAGCTGTGACTGGCCAGGCGGCCGCTCTGGGAGGCCTCGCCATGCAGAGGTTCAGACAGAAGCCAGGTGTAGCATCTGGCTCCTAGTCCTGACGCGCGCTGATGGAATCTTGAACAGATCCTTTCCTTGGTGTCACCAGGTCACTGGGAGGATCTATGACAAACAGTCATGCTAAGGGTCCCTCCCCCCCCCCCCAACTCCCCATGACCTTTTGTGAAGACGCAGAGGGAAGAGTCGTAAAGACACTGCCCTTTGCAAACGTTAAGGGAGCCCGGGCTGCCGTCTGTCCCCAGCCGGCCCCAGGTCCCCCTGCCTGGGTCTGCCGTCAGCCTCTTTTGCACCCTCTGCAAGCAGATTGGATACAACCAGTTTTCCAGAAACGGAAGCTACCCTGAGCTCCCTTTCCAGGTCTCCGTGACAGTGAGGCCGGCAGAGGCTGTCACATGAAAGCTACTTGTAGAGGACCAGCAGGGCAAAAGAAGAAAGGAAGAGGAAGAGAAAGGAATGCGGGGCTGCCCCGACGCCCCACTGCACCCCCTGACCTGTGTGCAGTAGCCGTGGGCTCCAATCAGGTGGCTGGTGGGGACGTCGAAGTCCTGCCGGACGCTGGAAAACATGGAGAAAGCGGTGTGAGCGCGTCTCCGCCTGACTCAGGCCGCTGGGCAAACCTCAGTGGGTGGCCAGGGGCTCCCTCGGGCTCCAGGCTGAGGCCCAGAATTCCGGCTGAGTGCTCTGTGCTCTGTGCCCTCCCTTGGGGCCAGAACCTGGGGCTCTTCTACCGTCCTCACCCTCCCTAAGCAACGGCCTCCACTCGGCCTCACCGGGCCCTCTGCCGACACAGCAGAAAGGCCCCTGGGTTTGGAATCCAACGTCCTGCATTTGCATCCCAACCGTCACTCACGGTGGGGACTGGGACATCCTCTGCCGTCTCCAGACCTCGGTCTGTGAGTCTGCTGAGTGGGAGGAAAGGTCTAAAGTAATACCTGCCACCTCCTGGGCAGACAG